CGTAAAGTCGCCGTCAGTCAGATAGATGCATAGAAACTGCTAGATATATACAGCTATCTATCTATATGTATGTGTCTATATCTATAAACCGTGTGCTTGGCCCGGAAATTGTGTAACTCGCTGAAACGTTTCTTGGGAGTTGTGAATGTGAACGTTTGCATTAATAATGCCATTAATGGTCACATTACAAGTGTAATAATAATTGTCCTTGATAGATACACACACACACGCACACACACCCATAGGCACATACATACATGGGTATGGCATGCTGCAATTAGGCCAAGCGACTGTCCAACTTGGCTCGGCCTGCATTTTGGCTTAATGTAAACGCATTTAAACGCAATTACTTTTCACTCGATGTGTGTGCGAGTGTGTGTGTGTGTCTGTGGTGTGGTGTGGTTTGTATGTTTTCTTACCAACTGACACGTACCAAAGCAATGGCTGTTGTTGTTGTTGCTACTGATGATGATTGCTGCCGTCGCTTGGAGTGTCGTCATAAAGATCCTTTATCAAAACGTTAATGGATTGAGTTATATGTACAACAAACATAGCTATATATGTATAGATTAATGTGTGTGTGAGTGTGTGTGTGTAACAGTTAACTTCTTTTTGTTGCTAGTTCTTGTAGTTGTTGCTCTACACGTGTCTCAGCTCCCTCCACTTTGACACTGTTTTGGCTTTGTGCAATTGCACTGAGTTGGCTCACACACACACACACACACGCACACACATAAGCATTTAATGTAAAGTTAATGAAATGCTTTGCTGACCCATGTGCGTAATTGTCGAGCATTGGGTATTATTAATTATGACGCACCCTAATTTTAGTTAAGAGCGAAGACACTGTAGTTGGCAGCCCAGGGCAGAAATGTGCTGAAAACCTATATTAATTGCATTTTAATGAAACTAGGAAATTCGTGTCATACACGTTGTGAAATGGAACCCTTTTCCGAGGAAACTTCATCTGCAAAATAGATAAGTTGCGTTTGCCTTTCGAAAGCAGATCAAAAGCTGTCTGATAAGAGTTCATTGGAACTGAGAGACAGATAGAGAAGGGGGGAGAGAGGTTGGCGCATATTAATCACGTGACTTGAGTAGGTTTTTAGAATTTATAAATAATATTTAAAGAGTGCTTTCAGCTGGCATATGGCATCAATTACATAACTTTGATGCTGCGATTCGTTAGTTCAGTTTCAGCTCGCTCGCTTTTGCCGTCTCTTTTCGCAGTGTAGTACGTATAGCTATCCCTGTCGCAGAGGCAACCACAAATGAAATTAAATATAGGCAGTATTGAAAAAAGTAAATCCAATAATAAAAACAAAAAAATCAACAAAAATCGCTGCGGTTGGCGCGTGTTGTTTTTTGTTTTATTCTATTATCAGTTGCCATGAAAAAATAATATATGAAATAAAATAAAATGAAATGCAATAAATGATGTTTGCATATTTGAGTCGTCGATGGAGGCGGTGCATGTGTGTGCGCTGATAAAAAATTCATTAATTCATATGCGAAATGCAATTAAGCGCAGTGGCTGCCACAAAAAAATGCAAAAATGCAAAAACAAAAAAAAAAAAAAACAAAAAATAAAACGACAAAGATGACAATTAAAAAAAGCTCGTGGCATAAATAAATGTGAAACAGCAAACGCAGCGGCAGTTAAATTAACAAATTGCATGCATATTTTAAATAAATATAAATATTTTAATAAGATTAAACTATAATGCAGCCAAATGTCAAAGCCGCGCATTCCCATTGGGATAACACACACGAATCCGCGGCGAGCATAAAAAGTGCATTTTGCTTAATTTATGCGGTTTTCAATTACCCTTTTGATATGAATTAATGACCGCTCCCGGACGCATTGCAGCTCTCAGCTCTCAGCTCTCAGCTCTCGGCTTTTTACTTTTCTATCCTCACAATTTAATTAACATTGCTGTTTTAAGGCCAAAGCATGATATTATAGCAGAGATCATAAGGCCACCCAGCTAGCGAGCTTTCTCTGCGATTCGCTCAAGCATGCAGCGCTATCGTGCGCCGCTCTCTGCGCTTCTCAGGTGCTGACTTGCTTTCTTTGGCTGCCGTCGTCGTCGTCGTTGTTGTTGTTGTTGTTATTGCATGCTGCACTCAATCATTTAATCCAAATGTTTTGTTTGCAACTACTTTGAGCTATGTGCATTCCTGTAACCGCAACAACATCAACAGCAACAACATTCTTGGGCCCAATGTCTGGCCAGCACAATTTCATGCCCGTGTAAACTATTTGTCGACAATTTTGTCTGCAACAAAAGTCCGCGTGCCACAGCCGCAGCCGCAGCCAAAGCCAGAGCCAGCCAACCAAGCCCACTGCCGCAGCTCCAGCCCAACTCCAAATGCAGTCTTAGTCCTCGCCTCATATCCAGCAAAGCGTAAAAGCGCGCGCTGGCACGAAACTCGGCTGGCCCGGTCTTTTGGGGTTCTTCTGGTCAATAGCCGGTCTAATGACGCTTGTATCAAGCTCAATCCACAGTTCGCGGCGCACATCCTTGCCATAAAAATGCACAAAATATGCAAAGTACATCGATTTAAATCAATTCTAAGCGCTATCAACTTGACTTTCGGCTCAGGCCTAGGCCTCAGCCATTGTTATTGCCCTCTTTCACTCTTTCTGTTTCGCTCCCTCTATCTCTCCATCTCTCTCTGTCCCTGTTTCGAGTCATCGCTTATCAAAAGTTGGCGCGTGTAAAGTAAGTTTACGTGTTGCGCGGCAAAGTGCATTGATAAGCCATAAACCTGAGCTTGAGTATGGGTCTCGGCTCTCGACTTTCTTTCCTGCAGCCTGCTTGCTGATTAGTCGATCAGCAAATGAATTCAGGCTTTTAAATATGCAAAAAAAAAAGAGAAAAAGAAGCAACGACGTATGAAAAGTAAAGGGCTAAAAAGAAAATCAAGCAAAACGACATTAAGAGCCTCTTAAGAGGCAACTGCGTTCACGAGATTCGCGACTTAGGTCTACACAGGTCTTGGCCAACTCCATTATAGCTCATTATCGCCCCGAGCAGCGTCTTACATTATGTTGATTAGTTTTTTTCTTCTTGTTCTCTGGCCATTCTAATAGAAAAGTTCTGGCTGCACAGAGAGCGAGATGGTGAGATAGTGAGAGAGAGAGAGAAAGCGATAGAGTGAGCGAGGTAGAAGCGAGTAGCGAACAGCCGCTGCGCTGTTCATTAAAAGGCTGCCACGCCCACAATGGCTTTCATTAATTGTTGACAATGATTACCTGGGGCGATGGCCCCAATGGCAAAGAAAAGACCAACAAAAACAAAAACAGAAACAAAACAGAAACAAAAACAGAGCACAGTGAAGCGAAACAGCTCGAAGACGTTTCGTTGCGTTGCGCTGGCCAAGCGAAATGCAATTTCAATTTCCAACGACAGGTGATAAATAAATCGAAACGCAACGAATTGAAATGAATCGGCATCGGTGGCATTGGCAATCGATTCGATGCGCTGCGTCCCGAATGAAATTGCGCCATATTTGGGCGTTATTTGTGGCCAATGCCACTGAGCCGAGCCAGCGGCCAAGAGGCTGAGGCATTTAATTGCCACCACGGCGTTTTTGACGTCTACGCATCAGAAATCGAGGCCCCATTGCAGGCAGCCAGTCGCCTGTGCTGTGCGCATTTTGAAAAGGTGTTTTGTCGCGCAGACCTCCAATCCAAACACCCCAACCAGCCACATGCCCAGTCCCAGTCCCATCCAGGCCAGGCCAGTCCAGTCCGGTCCGGTCCTCTTCATCCGTCGTCTTGCTGTGGCTGTGGCCCCTTCTGCGAGTGCGAATTGGCATTTTATTTTGCGCATTTGGCATTTTCGGGGCGCGTTGTTCATTTAACCGTGTTTAGTGTCTGTCGCTGTTGCGCTTTTTAATTTCATTTCGATTTGTTTTTATTTTTTGTCTGTGTTGTCGGTGTCAGTGTCAGCTCCGAGACCCGAGTCACTCTCCGCGTCTCTGCGTCGCTCCTTTACAATGCCAGCCAAAATGATTTAAGATGTTCGACTGTCAGTGCTGACAACATTGACAGTAAAATTATATCTACGCGCGCTGCAGAAGGTTAATTATCATTGATTTATTTACAACTAAAAACACAAATAAAAAACAGCAGCCACGAAATAAGGACATGTCGAGGCTGTAGAAATAAACTTCATATACTGCTGGATCCTTAGAAGCTTCTGCCATGGTTGGCTTAAATAAAGGTGTTTTAGACTCTCTAACTCCAACTATTATGCATAACAAATGGCTTATGAAGTCCATGTGATTGGCTTAAAATGCCATAAAACGCGAAAAACAACGGCGAAAAAGCGTAAGAAAAAACGTAATAAAAATTAAATAATTTATTGAAATGAAATGCGTGCAAAGCAAACAAAAAAGCGAGTGAAATAAAAAATTAACCATGACAGCCATAAATATTTTCAAATAGACAAACAAACAACAACAACAACAACAACAAATGTAAATCTGTGCGTTAATTTGCATTTGTGTTGCATGATAACAAAGGCAACAACAAAAGCGTAAACCGCAAGCAAAATTAAAACACGAGACATTGTTAAAATATTAAATTAAAATTAACATTGCCAAATGGCAAAAGCAACAGCAGCAGCAGGTGCGGAGGGGCGGGGCGGGGCGGGGCGTTCCATAAAATGGCTTGTCAAAGTGAATTTAAAATAATTATTGTGCATAATGCGGTATGGCGCGTATTAAATTAAATGCAGCACAATAATCGAATTAATAACAATAATGTATTATAACAAACACACACACACACACACGTGAGTCAGAAGTGGAGTTGGGCACATTTTGAAAATGTTTTATTTATAAATATATTTTAATGCCTGTCCGCATTATGTGGACTCTAGCGTAAATCCATTTTTATTTGCCACATTTTTTATCGCTAATTAATACTAAATGGCGCATTGAACTGTAATTGGGATTAATGTATTATGGTCTATTGTTTCTATTTGCAGATGGTAAGTTCTTATCATCACTCAATCCTTCAGAACTAACATACGATGGTAAGTCACATTCCACATTAAGTCATTTAACACATAAAACATTATACTATATATTATTGGTGGCAGTGGCAGCGCTCTCTCTCCCCCTCTCCACATCTCCCTCGCTCAGCTGCCCCACACGTGTCGCTAAGATCTGGTTCACACATTAATCACTGCAGCAACTTTGATGTCTGTCTGTCGCTAATCCTCACTGGTCTGCTCGCTCCAGCTTCTGCTGCTGCTGGTCGATCACGTTCGCCGCTGGCCCACGCCCAGTTAGCGCGCCGAGGCCGTCGCTTCCTGTTTGCCGTTTCGGCCAGAAATGAGAAATTTCTTTTTAATTTAGACCTAAACAGACGTGGCGGCAGCAGCAGCAGCGGCAGCTGATAAAAAATCATTATAAAGTTAAATTTTAATTAAAAACTGCAATCGATTATAAAAATAAAAGGGTTGTCTGTCTGCGGCTCATAAATTGAACGCACTGGCGGTCTCAAAGCTTTCAACGTGCATGCCACGCCCGCCCCAGCCCACAACTGGAACTATCTGACGATGTCGATGCCGATGTCGCTGTCGATGCTGATGTCGATGATGATGATGATGAACTTGTGCCAATTTTTGATGTGAGCAGCGGCTTTCGCGCTGTGCGCAGTGGCAGTTGCCAGTTGCCAGTTGCCAGTTTGATTGTGTCCAGCCGATAGCTGGTCGCGATCCAGACCCTTGACGTGATTATATAAGCAGCGCTTTTCGCTTTCATTAACGAGCAGCAGCAGCAGCAGTAAGCGTTTGCCTGGCACGTGATTTTTTTGCTGCAAATTTGATTTATAGCCTGGTTGCTGTCCTGGCTAAGCTGCTGGCCGGTCAGCGGTCTGCTGTCTGCTGTCTGCTGTCTGCTGCAGTTTATGAAAAAGCAATAACCCATTGCAGCTGTCCGGTGCGTCTTTTATGACGGCACGCAGCGTTAACTTGAGGAATGGTGTGTAAAAAAATCACGTTAAAATTAGCAATAGTTGTAAAAATTGTGCAGCAGTAGCTGTCTGAGTGGCCGTGTCGCCCGCTCTAGCAGCCCTCAATACGGAGCAACGACCAGACGGCGTTGTCCATACCACGCATACCGCATACGCCCCGTTTGCCGTTAGACGCTATTAATTTGTTTTTGTGCTGGACCAGGACCTAGTAACCCAGTAACGCTGCCAGACAGACAAATACACACACACACACAAACACACTCACGCACACAGCCAAGCTTTTAGGCCCAGCCAGCCGAAGAGCGAGAAACAAAAAAAATATCCGAAAATGAAAATGAAATATGCCAAAAAGTGTAATTTGTATTATAAGCTATATAGAGCGGCGCAAGGACCGAACTGGAACACGGCTTTGTGTTACTTCTGTGTGCCCACAACAACAGCAGCAAATAAGAACAACAACAACTGCAACGGCCATGGCCAGGGCCAGACACAGACACAGACACAGCCATACAAAGCGAAAGCCAGTGAGAGCGAGCGAGAGAGCGCGCATTTAAGCACAACTTTAAATAATCGTCTGTCAGAACTGTCAAACAAGCCGGCGAGCGCTAGAATTAATGGCACAGTGCAAGACAAAGAGAGCGACGGAGAGAGAGAGAGAGAGGCCGAGTAACAGTTGTATGGCTCTGTGTGTGTGTGTGTGTCGTTTGCAATTTGTTTGCCCTGCGCAGGCGCAAAGCGTGCATTGAACCTGTGCCTGTGGCAGTAGCCCGTATGTGGAGCAGACACACACACACAGTGACACGGCCACAAGTTGAATTATTGTTTTTGCGCGTATCGAACAAGGGAGTGAGTGAGAGCGAGAGAGAGAGAGAGAGCACGCGACAACAAGAGACGGCGACGCAGTCGCAGCGAGTTAAAAACAATGTCTGCCCAGGCGTCGACGTTGCTGCCAATGTCGCTGCGGTGCTTTATCACTCTTGCCGCACTCCTCCCACCTACCCTCTGTGCAACTGTATGTGTGTGTGTGTATAAACTTTACACAAAATTAATGCGCTGTGCCGCAGCGGGCGAACTTTCAACTGTTGCTGCTGCTGCTGCTGCTGATGTTGTTGTTATTCCTCTGGCTGCTTCAAGATGAAAAATTATTGCTTTTAATTTATTGCATAAACAAAGCCAATGTGTGTGTGTGTGTGTGTGTGTGTGTTGGTGTGTAATAGCGCTCAAGGTCATGGTTAAAGTGTGCACGCATACACTGACGTCGGCTGTGCTGCTTGGGGCTTTCCCCGGCGTCGCAGTCGCAGTCGCAGCGCCGCCAACTGTCAAAAATGATTTAGTAGTTCAAAGCCGCGTTTTGTTGCTGTTCTTGTTGTTGTTGCCGCACATCATTTTTCGCACTTTTGCCGACTGCCGACTGCCGACTGCCGACCGTTGCCTGTCAAAGGCAAATCTAACAATAACAACAACAACAATCGAATCGGTAGCATTTGACACTTGCAGCGGCCATTTTGACAGCTGGCAAAGGTCAAAGTGAAAGGAAAAGTGAGGCACAGTATTTGACAGATTGCTGTGTTACACTTCTCTCAGTGTACGTGTACGCGCGTGTATGTGTGTGTGTGTGTGTGTGCGTCACTCATTCATTCAATTGTTCGCTTAGAGCTGTCCGTCCATCAGTAAGTTGTCAAGTGCAGCGCAGTTTTTGAAGCATTCTCGCGCGTTTTTATAGTTCATTGCGCTCAATAAAAGCCAGCCAGCAAATGACAGCAGCAACAATAAAATGCCAAATCAAAATCAAAAACAGGCTAAATTAACTAGTCATAAAAGCGAAGAGACGACTAGAAAGCAATTAAAAAAAATATATACAAAATATCAAAATTTATAGACAAAAGCAGAAACATCAACGCCAAACGGCAACTGTTGATAGATCATTTGAAATATATATATATATATATATTTATGTGTATATATATGCATATATCATTGTTGCTGTTGTAGCTTTGCACACAGCTGACAAACTCAAAACTGAAACTGAAAACTGAAAAGCGAGCGCCACGGTTAAAAACTTTGATTTATGATGTTGATAAATGAGAATTTAATAAATTTGCTTATTTGCTCGTCGTGCTGCTTGCCGAGTGTCGGATTTGGTTTCGGTTTCGATTTCGATTTCAGTATTGAGTTTAACTGCAAAAAAAACCAAGAGTGAGGGGGGTGAAAAAACTTATTCGAAATACAAAACTCAAATGACCAAACATCAATTAAAACGCTGGAATGCCTGGGGTACAAAAAGTTGGGCTCCGCTCGACTTGATAGACAAATGATGGCGCTTATTTCAATAGATTAACATGCTCTTAGTGTTGTTTGAATGTCTCGGCTTTGATTTGTTTTCGCTTTGCATATCAGTTTCTTTGTTTGCATTGGGGCATCCATTGGCGAAGCAATTGGCAATTAATGATGGACCTCAACGCAGAGGCTTAAAGAGCGAAGATTTTTAATATCTAATAAAACTTGTGGAAGCGCTCTCATTGGTTATTCTCTTCAAATAGGCCAGTCGATTCCAAATTGAATCCAACTCTTGATGCATGGCACTTGAAACGTATAAATAATATGATTTACTCTGCTCATCATAATTCCTGGGCATATGCGGGGAAGCTTAAGCTGCCAAGAAAAAGCAAAAAGCCAGGCAGAGATGCGTCTGGAGTTGGGTGCCGCCACGTCCAACCCGGCTCGAATACATAAATCCACCACAATATGCGCTTGATATTCACTTGATGCGCCCGAATCCTGGCGATTGTCCTGCTGAATTATGCATGCAACAAATTGTATAAAAATGTGTGCAACTTTACGTAGTTACGTGCCGAAATTTGAAAATCAAGCGACCCCCGCGCCACACACGATACAGAAATTTGAGGCATACTTGTCAGAGCAGCTACCAGCTACAGCCAGACAGCACTCTCATCCTTAGTCTTCTGTGCATGGGATAAGCCAACCCTCAGAGGAGTAGGCAAGTTGCTGGGGACGATTGGGTCTCTGGTCCGTGTAGCGTTTACAAAGTGATTACTCGTGTTTAAAAATTGATGGCTGCTGTTGGACACGTTTTCAATTTGAAAACCCAGCAAGCCTCAGCCGCCCCTCGTCGACAGGTGTCTGCGGCAACGACTGTACATTTAACGAAATTGAAACTTGTTAATGCCAAAACTTCGCCTCCAACTTCGACTGCGACTTGGACTCGTAACGTTAAAAATTTGTCACATAAAATCATTTGGTCGACCTTTGGCATCTCGTTAAACGCCAACGATACAAGCTCAACAATTTGTTTGTTTTTTTTTATGGGCAAGCGATAGAGAGAGAGAGGGTGGCAGAGAGACTTGTTGTCATCTGTCGAACAGCAATTAAATGCTTTGCCTATCGTTAAATCAACAGCGATGATTGACTCGTGGCTGCTGTCCGTCCTTGAAGATTTACGGCCAGTTAAATGCTATACGGCGCGCTCAATATTCGAGTTCTGTTTTGTCACATCGTCCGATAATCGATTTCCGAGAGACGCCACACATTCCGGCCTTTTATTATTAGCCATAAAAGTAACGGCGCGGCTATAGTGGACTAACAACCGGTCGCTGTGACTGTAACCAAATATTTTAATGGCCCTCAGCGAAATACTCAAAATTTGTCTAATGAATTGAGCTGAATATTTTATTGTTTATTGTGGTTTGCTTTTGGGCTTAAAGACAACTTTAAATGGCTTTCAGCTCCCACTCTGGGTGTGGTCAAGGGCGCAGTTAGACCGCCGCGGAATGCCATCAGCACGGGCAAAAAACTGCAGCGCAAAAAACAGGACAGGATGTCTGAATGTCAGAATAGGCAGTCCGCGCCCTGAGGTATGCAACGCTTCGGCCGCATAACTTGAAGGCGTACAGCGGGCATATTTGCATGTGTGTGTGGGGGCGAGTATGCAGTTAAGCACATTTGAGCCAACTTTTGTGGCAGTTGCATGTAAAGTTTAGACAGGTTTTTATTAGCCAGCAGCTGCTTCGTTTTGGCTTAAAGTTTGATTAAACTTCA